AACTCATATCTGGTTACGATATCTTGAGTACTGTGTGGGCGCATGTCGCCAGTTGCTGTACCGCTGTTTGCAGGCATGACAAAGTGACAAGAAGACGAGTTTGATTTCATCTTTGTCTGATCACTCCCAGATACTTTTTTCTTTTTCTTTTATTTTTTTTAACAGCCGGGACACGGGCCCGGATACTTTAGAAATATCTCGTGATTTTTAAAAGCCGGGCCCCGATACTTCAGAAATATCTCCTGATTTTTTTCGTTTTTTTCTTTTCTTTTTTCTTCACTTCTCTATTACAAATATCCTTTGCTATGTTGATGTAAGCCTTGGGCACTGGGCCCGTTTGAAATAAACTTCCAAGGTTTTAATTATAAAAAAAAAAAAGTGCCCAGTGGGCCAGTGCCCACGCAACACATAGCGATCAACGAGGGACAGCCCGGTTGTCTTGCTCCGCCCGGAGCCAGGACCTCCCCCCCCCCCCCCCCCCCCTTCCCCCCAATCGCAGAACCCTCCGCACTCACTATCCCCGCGAAAAAGGAAGCTCAGCAAAAGAAAAAAATTCCCCGTTGCTCTATCCAAACACAGCAGCCTGCGATGCCGTCCCCAACACTGCTCCCCTCTGCCTCTGGTTCCAATTGAACATAGTCAAGTTCTCAACCTCTGGTCTGCATCTGGTCTGCATTTCAGCACTTCATCAGTTCAGGGGTGCAATTGTCCTATTCCACCCACCCAATGCGGCTGGACCCTACGCGTCACCTTGGGGGGCTCACGGCCCTCATTTCAGTTTCAGTTTTGATAACTTAAGTAATAGTGATAGTGGGTGCTGATCGCAGAGGAGCTCGGACATGGAGCATCGGAACTGGAGTCACGATCTCCGCAATGTCCGCATCCCATTTGCCCATTTGCCCATTTGCCCATTGACCCACGTTGTCAACACATATGGTGGTCAAGTGGTGCCACCCACCCTACATCTGTCAGGACTCGCGGCATTCGCATCGCACACTAGGACCTCTTAACTTGTTTCGGGACGTAGTCGCAATTGCGGTCATATACGTGCAGGTCCCCGGGTCCGATGGAGCTAGCTGTAGTGTGAGTCCGCCTTCACGGCCCCAGGTCTGTCTGCTTAGAAACAGTTCGCGCGTGAAGCAGCACTCAGCACGCCGGTTTCCAACTTTTTTTTTTTTTTTTTATAAGGGTTTCCAACTTGAGCTCGGTGTCATAACAACAACTCGTATTTTGTTTTGTTTTTAATTATTATTATTATTATTATTTTTTTTTTTAATTTGACTTCATGGGTGGATGAACCAGCTGAGCTTCGGTAGTCCCGTTCGTTCCTCACTGTGTAATTCCGCCCGGGGTCAACTCAGGGTATACTCACACACTAGGACCTTTTAACTTGTTTCGGGACGTAATTGCGGTCATATACATCCAGGTCCCGCGGTCAGACGCATTTAAGATAAGATTGAGTCTGCCCGCCCTCAGGTCTGATTACCAACAGTTCACGGCTGAACTGTTCCAGTCAGCCCGCCCTCACGTCGATTTCGATCTCGGGCCCTCGCTGCACTACTCTCGACATGCACAAAAGACAAAAATCATGGCGGTGCATCTTTCCATATTCTAGCGGAAGATTCACTCTCGTTTTGCACATTTCTAGAGTAGCGCAGCGAGGCCCTCGGTGTCACAAAGACTCGCATTTACAGGCAGAGACCTGCACGAATCTGACCGCGCTTACGTCAAGAAGTAAGTTCAAAAAGTCATACCGTAGTGTGAGTACGCCCTGAGCTCGTAGTCCCGTTGATTTCTGACTTCTTGCATTGATTCTGTCCTGGTTTAAATTTCTGTTTGTTTTTTTCAAAAGGCTAAAAAAAAAAAAAAAAAAAAAATTCAAGCCCAACCAAGTCAATTACCTGTCAAATCTGGACAGGACGGCCTTTCACCTTTCAGGCCTTTTTTTTTTCATTTTTTTGTCATTATTACAGTATTACGGGGGCAGGAAGCCCGTAGCAGCCACTTCAGTCCGTGCGCAAAGTATCACCAGTTCACGGGTGCGCCATTCAGCCACATGGGCTGGGGCGTTGCATACCTATCCCATTATACTGTCACCCTCTTCTCATCAGTCAATTTTTCCTTCTTCTTCTACTTTTGTACAGCTCAGCAAGAACACCGCACCACTCTTCGGCACTTTCTTCGAAGAAGACAGTGGTGGTCCCACCCGTCTAGTAGTCCTGCGGGACGTGGCAATCGCAGTTGCGATACGACGACCTGTTTGACCAGCAGCAGTGAATATCGATATCTGCTCTTTCAGTCAGCACTTTCGACTGCCGACAGCGGTGGTCGCACTTCGCTCCAACTGGCATATGGCAGTTGCGATATCTGCGACAGGAACAGAGCGTTTGCTTATTTGTGGCGGGGTGGGGTGGTATCTTTTTTTTTGTTTTTTTAAAGAACAGTCTTTGATATCAAAATTACCGGGAAGTTCCCAGAAAAAAAAAAAAAAAAACCGGGAAGCGTTGGTATCTTTCGCAAGAGTGGGCGCGAGCGAACGGTAGAGGCGTGGAAACTCGTACCAGGCGGCGGGGTTGGTATTTAGTGAGCGCGGCGGGATTCAAAAGGAAAAACACACGAGTACTACGTTGGCGGGAAACGAAAAGTGAAAAGTGGAGGCGGGAAAAGGAAACACACCATTACTACTACGTTGGCGGGAAACGACAAGTGAAATGTTACACGCGTGCGACGTAGGACGGACACAAGGTCGCACACTCAACTCCAGCAAGCAGAGGAGAGGAGATGGAGGTGGATCGGATGGTTAAGGCAATCCGAGTGCATGAGCCCGGAGGAGTGGAGGTGTTGAAATGGGAGGCCGTGGAGTTGCAGCCCGTTGGGCCGGGGGAGATCCGGCTGAGGCATACGGCGATCGGGGTCAATCTAGTCGATGCGTACATGCGATCAGGGATGCTGCCGCCACCCAGGTATCCCTACATCCCGGGAATGGAGGCCGCAGGGGTGGTCATTGCCGTGGGAGAGGGAGTGACGAGCTGCCATGTCGGACAGCGAGTGGCTTATGCCGGGCGACCAACCGGCTCGTACTCAGAAGAGCGTACTATGATGGCCGACCGCGTCGTCGCTATTCCGGAGGGCATCTGCGACGAGACGGCAGCGGCTATCACGCTGAAAGGAATGACGGCTCACATGCTCCTGGACGAAATGTTCCGCGTCAGCCCCGGGCTGTTCGTACTAGTGCACACGGCGGCGGGAGGGCTGGGCGCGGTTCTCGCGCAACTGGCGCACTCGCTGGGCGCGGTCGTCATCGGCACCGTGTCGTCGGAGGCGGAGGCGGAGATGGCGATGGAGAACGGCGTCACTCATCCCATCATTTACACGTCAGAGGATCTCGTCCAGCGTGTGCAGGAGATCACGCAGGGGGAGGGAGTCGCCGTCGTCTTCGGCGGCGAAGGAGAGGACACTCTCCGCAGGTTGGCGGATTGCCTTGAGCCACGTGGCCTGCTCTTCAGCTATGGCCCGACTTACGGCGATCCGCCATCGTTCCACGTCAGCCAGGTGTCCAAACGAGGCGCTCTGCGAATGTTTAAGCCGCCAATGTTCGAGTACGAGGCGCCCAGGGTCGAAGTCGTCCGGAGAGCGGAGGCGATTTTCTCTATGGTTCTCTCAGGGGTTATAAAGGTCCGCGTGTCTGATCGCTACCCGCTGGCAGAGGCCAGCAACGCGCACGCGCTTCTGGAGGCCGGGAATGCGACCGGATCCATCGTTCTCGTCCCTTGAGGAACCCCACCGTCGAGGGCGGTTAACTGTGGGGCTGAAGAGCAGAAGAGGAGGAGGAGGAGGAGAAGGAGAAGGAACGGGGGGGAGGAGCTGATGCAAACAGCTCTCATGCATCGTAATGGGGTGTGTGTTCGGATAGGGGTCACGGTGTTTGCTTTATCACGATCCCGATTCCCATTTCCCGACGATCCTGCAGCAACTGATAGGCCATTTTTCGATAATGGTGGTGTTGACGAATGACAAAGAGGAGGGGGAGGGGGAAGAGGAGGAGGAAGGTCGTGTTGTACGCAGGAAACAAGCCATGCTGTCGTCCCCGAGAGAAGGAGCACGACATCCAGCGACTGAGAGGCAATAATTAGTGCTACTGGGGAATTAAAAAAAGAAAAAAAAAGAAAGAGAGGAAAAGACCAAAGAGAGTCTTTAAATAGGAATCCCTTCCTGCACACCTGTAAATGGAAATCATGCTGTGCAGTTCTCTTTTTAGCGGAATTTTTTAGGGAAAAAAAAAAAAAAAGAACTGTAGAAAGAGTGGAGGGGGAAGCGATTCAGATCCAGTCCGACAGGCAGCAAGGGATACCGATGTAGTTGGTGTTAGAAGTCACCTCGACGCGCCTCGACTCTAGAGGGGGGATTTCTTGGGCTAGTATTCTACTTTGGGAATCGGTGTCCCATTTTGCCCCAAACAAGAAATAACCAAACTCTGGTAGTACGGACGATTGCTGTCTTAGAATTTCACTTTGAGAACGAGTCTCCCGTAGCGCGAAAGGAAGCAAGCGAATGACATCGGATTTCTCGGTCTACCGTTGACTTTAGAAATCGGTATCCGTTGGCCAAAACAGGAAATCATGGTCAAATTTCGTAGTAGTACCTCTTTGGCTCTAGCATTTGACGTTTATGATGGGACGTTTACGATGTTAATATTTTCTGTTGGACTTCCCGCCGTCGCGGGTCCTTTGGCGATTGTCATAAGTGAGTGACTGCATATCGTGTTGTGGTGTGCTTTCTCTATTGCCCTGCCCCCTACCTCTCTGGGTCTAGCGTTTGAATTTCGCAATTGCTTCTTCCTAAAATGGAAACAATCGAGCAGCTATCCGCGATTTGCTGGTACAGTATTTGGACTTTGGGAATCGGTCTCCCGTTTGCCGAAAAAGGTAAAGAGTCAGAGTAATGTTCGTAGCATTTCTGGGTGCAGCACAGCAGCATTTGACTTTGGGAATCAGTGTCTCATTGTCCGAAAAAGGAAAATATCCAAGCAAGGGTTGCGACCCATGAAGTCATATCCGATAGTCTCGGGCAGGAAAAAGGAAAAGAAGGCAGTAATTGTTTGTCATGGAACTGTAAAGAAACATTAGCCAATGTAGAGAAGGGCGAAATGCCTGCTCCCCCCGTCCCTCTCTCTCTCACACACGGTCAAGCTTTTTTTTCAGTATATAGCGACTATGATAACACACACACACACAAACACACACACACACACACACATACTCCGTCGATCAGTAAATGTACAAATAAGAGCTTTTTCTGTAATTGAGAAGTTGTCCAACATTCCAGAATCGTTATGCTCTGTGTGTGTGTGTGTGTGTGTGTGTGTGTGTGTGTGTGTGTGTGTGTGTGTGTGTATGTGTGTCTTTTTTCCCCTCCCGCCTTCCGTCTCTCTCTTTTCTCATGCCCCGAAGAGCGTGGAGTTTTTCTTTCCTTCCCCAATGCATCCGTTTTCCATCCTTGATTCCTTGGGAATCTTGTCACTGTGACGGCTTGACCGGTGAGTGAGTGACCTGTTCTTTGCGCACTGAGCTTGTATTCGAAATTTCCTCGTCCTTTTTCACTCGTCACATTTTCTGGTCGATCGGTGAAGAGGGGGGGATCCCCTTTTCTATTCTTGTTCCCGGGGCCAAGTCCCGCTTGGCGGAATTCTTCATTTCTGGTCGTTGATCTTCAGAATCAACGGTCAGAAATCAAGAAGTCGGGTAAGTGGGACTTGGCCCCCGGTCGCTGAACATGTGGCCTTTGTGGGTACTGGTCTTTTCTTTCCTGCTCGTTGTTAACTCTTTTCCGTGTGTCCCTTCCTTTTTTGCAGGTTGGTGGTTATAACTTGGATCTCGCAATCGTGCGGTCGCATCATTACACGAAAGACCTCAACGGAAGATATTCAGCAAACATAGGAAGAAGTAAAGGACGAAAACGCTTAATTTTTTAATTTTTTATTTTTTGGACTTCAAATTTTCACGAAAATTCTTCTTTCCATCTTCTGATCAAAAGAGTTCTATCCGAGAGTCTAATCATTCTGTCTCCCCGGGACTCCCCCCCGCCCCCCTCTTCCTCCCTTGTTACGTAATACAACCCCGTTCGACTTTTATGGGACCAGTTCTCCTTTTCCTCCTTTTTATTTTTCCTCGATTATATTTATTCGTATAAAGGTTTTGACTCCTGAGTTTGAAGTCCCACCAGCGGGAGACTTTAGTTTCACATTCGATTATGTTTCAACGTGTGTCGACAGTGCGGCCGCGAGATTTCACATCGGAGGGGAGGGTAGTATCATGGGGCGTCGCCGAACGGAACACGAAATGAAAAACGAAACGGGTGCATCTTCCGGCAGAAAATGGCCAGGTTCATCGGTTTGCTATAAATAGTAACAAGTGTATTTTGCCACCTTTCGTGGGCATATGCACTCGTTTCGTTGTCGTTTCGTGTGCCGTGTGGCGAGGCCCATGGTCACATGGTGCAACCCCGTGCGTACACGAAGCCAAGCCTTCTAAACCCCCTGCTACCAAACTTCGCCCGAATAGAACGCCTGGTATTGTAGCTGCATGTGGTGCAATTTCCGGTCCAGATACGGTAATAATTACCGGGCGTTCTATTGGGGCGAAGACCGTAGCGGGACTTGGACCTGGGTGAGCGCGCAATGGTACACGCATGTAGCTGGGGGTTAACAGATATTTTGTTTTTGTTTTTCCCCTTTTTGTTTGCTCGAAATTGATATGCCCGGTCATTATAGCCGTGTTTGGTGCAATTTCCAGTCCAGGTACGGGCCCAATTACCGGGCGTTCTATTCCGGTGAAGACGGTAGTGGGACGTAGCCCTGCTGAGTGAACAGCAGAATGGTACGCACATGTGTGTTAGTTAACGTTTTTTTTTTTTTTTTTGCCCTTTGTCTTGCTCACGACAGTCATTATAGCTGTATTTGGTGTAATTTCCAGTCCAGTTACGACCATAATTACTGGTCGTTCCATTCGGGTGAAGACGGAAGCAGGACTTGGCCCGGGGTCGCGACACCACACCACACCACTCTCGAAATGTCAAAAAGACAAACATGCGGCGGGTGCCTTTGGCCATGATCTAGCCGAGAGTTCATTCTCATTTTGCCCATTTCGAGACTGATGCATCTGGGTATGTGATATTGGTACAACATTGTCGTCGAAACAGTCATGGAAACAGTCGTGAACAGATCATGGACAGTGATGGACAGTCATAGACAGGCTTGGGTGGTGGTAGATATATAGTTCACATTGAAGTAGGTAGAACAAGTAGTACATAGCTGTTCCTGCTTTTACAGCATTGTGATGGCCAGTTGATTGTTAGTTGACGAAGGAAGAAGTGTATCCACTCACTGTAGCTCGTTCACAGAGGGATGACTGCCAGTGGATGATAACAAGGGCATAGACCGGCCAGTGAGGCCAATATCAGTACCTGTTTTTCGAACTTTTTCCTGCTGCGGTTGCCAGTTGGGGTTAAGCCTGGCCGGAGAGCCTGGGTCATCCTTTCAGGCCGTGGCTAATGATGTGAGGACCGCTGGGCCCGTTTCCCAGCATATAATGAAATCTTCCTTTTTGTTCATTAGGGGGGTGAAAAAAAAAAGGTCGCTCAGTGTAATCTCGTGCATCACATACTACACATAGGTTTTTT